TGCCCAATTTGCACAATCTGGCGTCAGGCATTTATTGAAGCTACTGGGCATGGTTAAAACTCAAGACAGCGTAAGCACAATTATTCCAGATATTACAGGTTCCGACAAGTAAAGAATTTTTATAGTCCTGCCACAAATAAGCTATATATTGATTATCGACCATTTGTGACATGCTATAATGAGCAAAAATTAAAAAAAAAAACTAATAGGTAGGTTTAAAATTAATAAATACAAATGTATTTTGACAGTGAATGAGTTAATTATGCTTTCTATTTGCAAAATTCCTCAACCTTAACACAAAATAAGAAAAAAAGTGAAATTTTAAGAAATTTGCGGGATTTCCCGGGATATTTTCCGGGTTAAAAAAAAACAACCGGAATCCCGTTTGAGAAACCCTATTGGAGACATCAGAAAACGCGCCCGCCGTTTGATGCGCTACTCCGCGACGAAAACAAGCTTAAGCAATGGCGTAGTCGAACGGTGCACACTCGGTAAGTAAGCCTGCATTTTTTTGTTTATAGCATAGTTTATACAGATTATTCCCAAAAAATTATACGTGTTTTGGAAATGTTGAGTGAAATTAGTCTAGAATCGATTAATTTTACGGAAGAAAACCTCTCAAACAGCCGTAGTCCGTAAACTGCACCTCTGTCAGGCTGTGATTGGCTCATGTATTTAAGGATTCCTACAACGCGAAATTCTTATAAAGCGGAACGTATCTACCGCATTATAGGGGGTCGACTGTATTTTAAATTTATTGTTTTTTATTTTTATTTTTTTCTGTACTGAAGCCGGAGTTCCTCGGAATTACGGGCTCTAGATATTTGTCTATTGATTAATCCGGCACTGCGAGGGAGAATGTATTTAACAGGACTGTTCCAGCTTCTAAATTCACGGGTTTAAATTTTTGGGACACGATTGTACGCATCAGTTCAAGATGATATTTTTCATTTTTGTGATAAATTTTAGTACTCTATATAGAGAAATTTTAGATAAAAATATTTGTATACTTGGTAGCATAATTCTTATAAAATGAATCGTAGTGTGACATTTAAAAACAAAAAAAAAGGTCAAAGTCGCACATTTCAAATTTGCAGTTTATTTTGCTGTTTGTTTACCGATTCACCAGACTGATTTATAGTGGTTTATACAGTATTTGCTGGGTTGCTCTATATGTGTGTAAGAATTATATATAAAGACACGATGATTGCAGACAAATACATATGTTAAAATGTGTATAAGATACCACTATAATAAATTTCTTATGTTTAAAAAAACATCTGTAGCTTTTTGTTTTGGCTCGAACATTTAGCAGAAAAATGAATAAAACTTGTTTGGAATAGCAAAAATGAGCTGTATGTTTAAATATGTTGCTTAATAATCGAATTTTATTATCTTACAAGGATTTATTTCTGAAAGGTTCAGTAACTTTCTATAAATAGAACAGGGGATTAAAGAAAAATATTGTCTAAATTTGAAAAATATAATATACAGATTACCGATTATTTTTGATAGTGTATGGTATCAAAATAACGTCACTAGAATGATTTTTATGGATAATAAAATTGATTAGCTTAGTTAACTTGACTGAAATGTTGAATAAATGAAATAATTTTAAAGTTTATTTATTTATTTTCCACATGACAGAATAGTTATACAATGATCAGTTTTGCACATATATACATTATTGTTATCCCAAAAAAGTATTCAGACACCCCTTCAAATATCACAAAAAATCACATCATTCTAGGATATTTAAAGCAATTTTTTATTATATACGTATAGTATTACTATACTATACTATAGAATAGAATTTATTTTTATTGTCATATATTTTAAAATAGATGAAGTTTTAAAATTTGCATAACTTCTATCTACTTAGTCCATCATTTGGCAAATCCAAACTGTGTGGATATCATCTTGTAAATCTCTGAGTTGTACTTAGATATGAAAGATAAAAATTAGTTTGGATATTTGGAATATTTTATAAATTGTTGATTGTTTATTGATTCCAAATAAAAGTATCAAATGCACACTAATGGACAGCCGGATGGCGAGGGGGCGGTTAAGATATTGGCCTTAATGCTCCAAGGGACTTTGGATCTGGTAAAGCAACTTCCTAGGAATTTTTTGGGGGGATGGTCTGGCCCATCTTTTGTCACCTGGCCAAACCCATTACAGGTATGAGGGAAAATGCGCTGTAGTGCCCAGAAGACAGATTTAAAAGTTAAAAAATAGCATAACTGAAATTATTATGATTGTAAAGCTAAACACAGTTAATTGATATTTACAAAAATGCAGTACTGTACTGTAATTAAAATTTATATTGTTAATGAGTTTAAAAATGCAATATTTTATTCTCTGGTTAAATCTGAATACACTGTACTTTTGCTAATCAAGCAATTCCTTGCACAGTGGTGCCAGATTAGCCAAGGAGCCGGATTACCAAGTGAGTGTAAGCCTAAGGCAACAAATTATGTGATCCGTCCCTTTCAGTACCAATTCTTTGGAAGGCGAGCTGGCAAATAATACGGCGTACCGACATACAATACTGTACATAAATGAAACCCAAATAAACAGAATTTGTGACACATTTTCATGGAAATGGAAAAGCATGGGCGATCATATGGTGCGTGTGCCAGATAATTGAGTGTGCGCTGTATTTATTAATATTGGTGTCTGATTACTTTTTGAAAGATTATTATTATAAAATTTTTGTATGATATATATTGAGCACATATTGTTTCAAGTATCTTTTAACGCATTTGTTAAAAAATCTAATAAAGCTTTTGTATTAAAACAATATACATCTCATATCTTTCAGGAGCTGCAAGACGCATTGCTTTAATGATAAGCATTGTTAGAGGTTTTGAAAATACTCGTAAATATAAAGCTAATTTTTCACGCTTGAACACTGTTCGGTTTTGATGGCGAAACGGCAATTAGAGTAACGTACCCATCTCCCGAAATCTCACTATTACTTCTGAATTCGTTTTGATCCAGACAAAATTCCCCAGTTCTAGATGTTTTTCTATGTTTAATGTGGTCTTTACATGTTCCATTCAGGGGTCTTTTACTCCGTCTTATTTGTTTATTTTCCTCATTTTTCATCTCGTTGTCATTATGATCTAATACTACTTTAGACAAATCCAAATCTTCAATTTTTCTGACTCTATATTTTTTCTCACAGACGTGTTGCCATTTTACTTCTTTCAATTTTTGTACAATTTCTAAACCTCTCATTGCTCTGTTTCGTGAAAATTCTTCATTTAAACTTGATTCTGAAGTGTCCTCATTAGATTCCTCCATAGAGCTGTTGAGACTAGCAGATTCTGCAGATTCTAGAGAATCCGTATCTATAGATATATTGTTTTCATTTTTCTTAACTATTCCATTACAGTCAGAGGTTTCGGAAGGTTGTACAGCTTCACAGGAAGATATTCCAGAAGTTTCGGAATCACCTTTGAAATCTTCTGTTGATGTCAAACTATCGTGAGAGTCTTGTAAATCAGAAATGTCAGTTAAAGAATCCTTCCTCGTGGTAGGGGGTTCTGATAAACGGCTTCTCAGACTTAATAATTGAGCCAAACTTTTGTCATTCATTAACTCAACTTCCCTCTTCAAAGTCCAGTTTTCTCCAACAAGACATGAATCAGATTTTGGCAAATTTGAATGCCCAATACGTCCAATTGCACTCTTAAATTCTTTTAAAAATTGTCCAAGAATACCAGTTTCTTTTTCTACTGCTTCACATTCAATATTAGGTACTCTTTGCTCTAAAAGTTTTAAAGCAACTTGATTAGACCATTGTTTGTAAAGTGCTTCAACGTCAACATTTGAATTTGATAGTTGTTTGCAGACATTTTCTTCACTGATACTTTCTAGTTTTTGCTCTTTAACTATATTTTCATTTTCTCCTGGAATAGAAGAAGAAAAGTCATCATTCTTTAGCTCTAATTTCTTGAGTAGTGAACGTCTGGATATTTTACTTTCAGTGCATAAAGATTCAGATTCATCAAACTTCTCCTCACCTTCAAGTATATTATCCATATCAGTTTTGTCATTCATATGAAGCAACTTTTGATATAAGTCTTGTCTAAACATATCAAACTTGTTATTTTGTCCTTCGAGTTGTGTGTTCTGTTTTTGTTTGAAACGATACTTTCGAGGAGGAGGGCATGGAGGTGTTTGGTTATGTTCTATAATCGATCTTGGAATTGGCCCACGAATAGTTTCAACAATCGTTTGCTGCCTTGCATTTTCTAACGAAATTCTCGTTTCTCTGTGATCTTCTGGATAAAAATAATCATCTTCAGGAATCATTACTAATGTTGGTTTGAACCTGAGATTCTTTAAACGGCGACTACTGAGTGCAATTGTCTGTCGAACTCTATTAAGTAGTTCTGCAGCAAGAGGGGGTGGTGAAGCTAGCATTTCAGGTTCAAAATATTCTTCACTTAAGACAAAACTCTGTTTTGCCAAATAATCACTATTTGGATAGTCTGGTTCTTCGTCAGAAATGTAAGTAGATGTTGGATACCTCTCCGATATCAATGATTGCTTCCTATTGTTCCACGACGATCTACTAATGTTTGCAGCAAACTGTTAAAATGATTAATGTTATATTTTTAGATATAATTTATGAAAACAACAAAATAGCAATTTGAATCTCACCTGAGAATTTCTTGAATTTTCTTTCTGATTCCTCAGATCTCTGAATGCTGATTGTCTGTTGCAGATTGCTATCCGATCATTGCATCTGTTGTGTTTACTCCTGCGCACTTTCATGTATATGCATATGGCAAAAATGTAAGTCAAGCCTAAAATCCCAACACATAGTCCAATTATGATAAAGTTGTTCCTTCTCACCCAATGTGGTTCTGTTACTGCCACATCCAATCCTGTTATAAAAAAGGATTTTAATATTTAATTTAACATATACCACTGAATTTGAATATAATTACACAGCACATACCCGGAGACCAACCAATTTTCAGTGCAGAACATGATTCGAATGTAATGTTTTTATCTTGACATCTCAATCGAACTAACATGAGTCGATGCTGAAGCTGGTGTCTCTGACTATCTCTTCCTAACCACTAAAAGAATATGGTATCTAATTAATAACTAAAGAAATATAAACAAGAATAATCATTGCAAATTTAAGTTATAATCATCTTTACTTGAAGAAATGTCTTGCTTCCATCTTGATAAGCTCCAAAAACTGGTTCGCTAGAGCCTTCTTGAAAGATATGTTTCCATCCACTTGGCGTCATGAATTCGGTGCTCATAACTTCGCACGCGCTAAGTGAACTAAGGTTTCCAATCTCTAAATTTAATTTTAAAACATTAGAATAAGAATGAACTTAAAATTAATGTAGAATTTATATATGTAAATGAATAATTTACCAGGAAATTGGAAGAGGGCACCAGGATACACTAATTGTCCAGTTAATGGTAAAGATACCACTGGAAGCTTATCTGCGATGTAGGGCCTTAAGAACATAGTTAAAGGACATTCTAAAATTAAATGATTAAATATTTTAATAAGTGCTACGTATTTACGGAATTAGTTCATAATAAATTAGGATTCAACAAAAGTTAACTCTATTTTTGGACTCTGCCCTCTATACTCTAAGAGGATCTTTTTTTTTTCGGATTCAACGTGGGCTCGGACAGGTTCACAATAAGGCGGCCGGATGATGTTGAGAGACGAGGTTGATGTGTCCGGATGAACCACGTCCGATAGCGGCCGGATGGCCGAGCGGTCAAGGTGGCAGCCTACCGCGCTGGGGAACCCGGGCTCGAATCCGAACGGGTCGAAAAATCTCCAGGAATTTTTCGGGAGTGGACCGTTCGGATATGTCGGTCTTCGTCCCTCACCACCCGGCAGTCCCATTGTGGGCCTGGCCGAACCCATAATGGGCTTGCAAAAAGAGGCCTTCTTAGTGCCCACAGGGCGGAAAGAGTAAAAAAAGAACCACATCCAAAAAATTTATGGTATTGAGCGTCTGAACCCATCAGTGGCCGAATAGATAAAACCGCAAATACTGATAGTTGATCGTAGGTTCGCACTTCGCCAACGGGTTGGACAAATAAAGTTTTACGAGTTTTTGTCATGTTTGTAACATCTAAATAGGGGTCAATTTTCCCATAGAAAGTCTTACCGGCAACGCGACACCTGGGCGATCTTCTCGGGCATCGCGTTGCCGTAAAGAATAAATCAAACCTTGTTTATTGATCGTCCAAGCTCACAAGTGGCCAAGTGGATAAACCAGTGCACACTGGTAGCGGCTTTGAACCTCGCCAACGAGCTGGCCACTTATAGTTTTCTGGCTTTCTTCACGTGTCTTTCAAAATTAGGGGCAAGTTTTCCCATAAAAGTCCACCAGAGCCATTTCCCTTGGTAGATCGTCCACGTGTTGCGTTGGCTTAATCCATCTAACATACGATACTTATCGACCCGTTTTTTTAATACTCTTTCCGCCCTGTGGACACTAAGAGGGGCCTCTTATAGCAGGCCCATTATGGATTCGGCCAGGCCCACAATGGGGCGACCGGGTGGTGAGGGGCGGGGTCCGATATATCCGAACGGATCACCCCCGAAAAATTCCTGGGGATTACTTGACCCGTCCGAATCTCGGGTCCCCCAGAGCGGTAGGCTGCCACCTTGACCGCTCGGCCATCCGGCCTACATTATCGACCCGTTCGGATTTGTTTCCTGGTCCTCATTGTAGTAGGCTGATACCTTAACTGCTCTGCCATTTGACCTTAAATTTCATCCATTACAATAATAATTTGTGTAAATATTTCTCAACAGCGCTAAATATATTCCTTAAATTGTAAAAATAAAAACACGGTAACGTATCGAACCAAGTATGTTTGAAAACCTAAATCTATCGATGTACAAAGAGTCATTACAGAATCGGCAGTTTTCACTGAAAATTTAACAGATTTCCTAATATCATTCTTAAATTTTACATTAAATAAAATTCGGTTTAAATTCCAGTCTGCTCAGAAATTTCCATCGCTGGGTCAATTCAGTTACGTCAGATATCTCTTACTATTACTATTAGGATCCCGAACACATCTACGGAAAGGTTCTCGCAATAGGATGGGAACAATAAAAAGACGTTTCTAGTACTTTGTTTGGATTGATAGTGTAGGTCAATGCAGCACATGCGCCATCTGCCAAGGAGGGAAGTGACCCTCGGGAGAACATTTATGGGAAATCGACGCTTATTTAGGTGTTAGACGCGTGAAAAAACACAAAAAAAATCTAAGTGCCATCCTGTTGGTCAGGCGCGAATCCGTAACCAATTATCAGTGTTAAGTGGTATCCAGTCAGCCATTGATAAGTTCTAAGTATTTATAATAAAATTGATTAATCATATCAAGATTGTTGCATAAATCGACTATAAGTCGCTTATTGTTTATCATTCGTAAGAGATTCTAGAGCTAGAATACTGTATTTTAATCATTTTTGATTCCGTCCTGTGGGCACTACGATGGTCATGCAACTTTTTTGCCAAAGGCATTATCGGTTCGACCAGGCTCAATTAGGGATGCGACAAGTCCAGGAGGGACCGCACATGAAAAACTTCCCGCATTTCTCAGAGTGGAAGGCAACACTAACAGCCTCATTGTCGATGTGGAGGAAACAAAATGGAGATTCTTGTAAAATGGCGTAACAGCAATTGCCTACCTCTTTAATATTAATATGGTATTAGTTGGAAAAGCTTATTTTGAAAAATGGTAGATAAATGTATTGGAGTGAATCCAAACATGTGAAATAATAATTTCTTATATTTCAGTTCCAAATGACTGATTTTGATAAATTAGTTTTCTGTTATTTAGCATAATACTTGTTTTGCCACATTTCGAAAAGTTCGATGTTCTAAAAAATAAAATTGTAAAATGAATCCGAGATTTTTTTTTTCATTTACCCTACATTTGTCTTTTGACTTGTACTCCTTAGAATTTATAATTTATTTAAAAAGTATATATCAATTTATTAAATATCATGATGGGTATCATTTTTTTAACTCTCCACCCTGTAAGCACTAACAGGACCTTTTTTCGGGCCTGTCGTGGCTTTGACCAGGCCCATAATGAGGGCGACCAGATGGGCCGAAGGATCGGGATTTTCTAGATTTTATCTTGGGCTCTTAAAGGCTAACTATTTTAACAGAATATTAGAAGTGTCAGTGGTCACCTGGCATTTTTAATGTTCTGTTAATGTTAACATGGAAAAATATCATCACTTTTATTGTAAGAATTGGAGGATATGATCTAAATTCTCGTAATTTATTATTAGTGGTGCAGCGTTTAGGTCCACCAGTGATCAAGTGGACATAATCACTAAACACTGATAATTGACAGCGGGTTCGCGCCTCGCCAAAGGGCTGCTCATGCAGAAATTTTGGGTTTCTTTACGTTTGTAAGGCTTAAACAGCGGCCAGTTTCCTTAGAAAGTCCTCCGGTGAAGCACCCCCTCTTGACAGATTGCCCATGTATCGCGTTGCCTCATTCCGTTAATCTTACAGTCCTAACGCGCAAGTGTTTTACATTAGCCAAAGAATCAATCAGCAGAACACCAAAAATTATTGAATTACAGTCGACCACCCCTATATCACTGTTGATAATTCCGTTTTATATGAATTCCATGTTGTACGAGTCACTTAGATTTTACAAATACATGTGCCGGGCTGTGAACGGCTCACGTGTTTGTAAAATCTAAGAGACTCGTACAACATGGAATTCATATAAAACGGAATTATCAACAGTGTTATAGGGGGGTCGACTGTAAACAGGTACATGTGTAAACTTATATACATTTATAAAAGCAAACAAGTAGCACGATTAATTTTATAAATTAATGAATCGCGATACCTTATTATTTAGAAAGATATATCACGCTATAGCCATTGTTTAACATTCATTTAAATAAATGACGACATTGAACATTTAAAGAGAAAAATATTTACTCTCTTTGTTTAAAAAATCCAGTTATGTTTTTAAATTTTGTTGCCCTTGAAAATTAATATCAAAAACTTTTTGGCAAGCTTCTCATTATAATTATGTTGTTTATCTGATAAGATTGTTGTTTAATGTTAAAATTTAAAAAAAAATTAATGATAGTTTGATTTATTTAGCTTGTTAGTGTTTAGAATTATATTACTTCGAATTTAAGATGCATTTTCTTTCATATATTTCTGAACGGTGATAGTTGGTAGCGGGTTCGCACCCCACCAACTGGGTTGCTTCACGTGTCTAATACAAGTTCCCTTAGAAAGTCTTCCAGAAAGACACCCCTTGGTAGATCGTCCACGTGTTGCATTGTCTCATTCCATCGTCTCATTCCATCAATTCCATCTCCTTTAAAATCGAAGTTATAAATTGATTATTTTTTAATTATTTAATAATTTATTAAGGAAAATATTATATATTTCACTCAGTATTCTATTATGAATAATGTCATTATATATATATATATATATTTGTGTTTATTTGTCCAAACAGTAGAGGTTTTTTCTAATATTTTTCCTCTGTTGCTCGAGCATAACTGAACGTAATGTTTTTGTATATTGTTAGAAAAACTGGAAATGTTCAACTGAACTATTTCAATTTATATATAGTACATTAAGTACTCACGCATCTAACATTTTGGCCAGCGTGAAATTATAATTTTAGTTTATTTTTATATATCATATTTATAAATATAATTGCATGAATAGACAGAATATAAACGTGGATTTTCAATTATTGACTAGATTTTTTTTAATTTCAATGTATTTTTATGTTTTATAATAATGTTTTTAAAACTGGATGAAACTGTAGTTCAATTTTATGTTTTTACAAGGTGGTGTTACCCTTCACAAATAGGACTTGATGGGGTAAGGCAACGCAACATATGGGTGATCTCCCTCTTGAGAGGACGTTTTTATGGAAAACTGGACCCTATTCAGGTGTTAGACACGTGAAAAAACCCGGGAAACTCCATATGGCCAGTTAACTGTTGAGGTGCAAACTCGCGATTAATGTTACCGCGATTAATGTCACCTTACAGATGGAAGCAGTAGTCGAAAATATAGTCTAATTTTGGTTTTAACAAATTTTCTAAATTAAAGTTTAATTTTAATTATTTTATTGTTAAAATGTTTATGTTTTTTCCACGTTTTTGATGTTTTAATTGAATGTCATGTGTTTACTTTGTGCTCTTTTAACATAACGAAACTATGTCACCTGATTTTTCTTCGTGTTTCAAGATCAGTTAAGAATGTTCATTTTTTACTTTTTTACTCTATTTCCTCTTGAATAAAAAATTTAACTTTACAAAGAACTCGAAAACCTTAAATTACAACAGATATAGCTCACAAATTTGCCATATTTATTACAGGACCTGTGGAGTCTCCCAGAGTTTAACGGAGCAAAATACATATTAGGGTCCTATAGCAAAATACATTATTATATTTAAGAAAAGGAGGTATACGAAAAAACATTGTATAGGTGCCATAATTCTTCTAGGTCTAGAGCAATTTGCTCCTTTTGCCTCTTTAGGGGCGTCCCTGAGTAGCCGTAACAAAGTATGGCGAATTTGTAAAGGAAAATAAGTTTAGTGTCCCATATATTTAAATTTTACCTGTTATAAACTCCACACAATCATCCAAATCATCCCTGTATATATAGTGAGTTGGTGCACATTGGCACGTACATCCTTCTCCGGGAATGGAAGCAGCGAATCTTCCGTCTTGCTGGCAATCAGAATCTTCACAGTGATGTTTAGATATGGTGAAAACGTCACCGAAATAGTCTCTTGTAATATGGTAACTATAATCCAAGGGTGCTGATGCCACTATAGTCCAAAGAACCATATTTATTAAGAACACCATGATGGTGAAACATTCGCTCCTGTTTCCAACATCGTAGCTATATTCTATGATTCGTTTTAACCCATATTCTCCTTTTTTATTCTTCTAGAAATTTGCATAACTATGCGTTATGGTGGTTAATTTCATACGCTCGATAATTTTTTGCACCATTTTCCTAAGGAAAATATAAAATATCGCACATTAATTACGCTACTTATTACTACATTTTGATCACTTATATGTACAATTTAATGTAATACAGTCAGATTTCGATATAACGTCACCGTTTATTCGTCTCTGAAATTGGCATTAATCGAGTACGGCACTAATTAGAAGCGTGCTGTATCGAGTTTTCACTAATTCTTAAACAGATGTTAAACAGAATTAATGTTCTAGTATGTTGATGAAGTGATTTGGCTCAAAGATGGTCATTTCTAAGTGCTAGACTATAAAAATTTGTGTATAAATTTAAAATAATGCCTAAGAATCCTTAATATTTAATTACAGATAATCCATAACAGTTTGACTACAGAATTTTCTGTAATAATTTAATTAAAAGTTACAAATAAATCAGTAACTAGATACAGAATATGAAACGGACTATGCTATATCCAAACGGGCTTATTTCGTTGCTTGTCACTTAGAAGCACCCAATAATTCTAAATTTAAAAAAATGAAATATTTTTATCGTATTCGAGATCAACAATCGACTAAGTAAAGTATTCAACCCGAACAATCAATAGAACAATGAATGTAAGCACGCTTCAGATATTGTCATTTTCCTTGTGGATTGTCATAACATTCTTCCAGTACAAGGAAATTGTGTAAACAAATCTTTAATAAAAATACATTCGAATTAATTAGACTTATATATATTTAAATTGATCTTATATGTAATATTAGTTTATTAATAGCTCTGTACATACAAACACTATGATAATATTTATTGTAGAACTGAGGGTTAACATCCAAATGGAACAATATTATGGAATTTTTACAGTTGTAAAAGTGAGAAATTTGAAAGTAAGCTATGGTAAAAACAGAAACTTATTGTATATTAACGTAACTACTATATTTTCATGCGTATAACCCGCAGAAAATTTCTAGAATGAGAATAAAACTTTCGTATAATCCACCCTACCGGATAGTCTGCGCCTGTGGAGCAACAATTGTTTCATAGGTACTGGTTTCGTAATTACAATTTAAAATCTGCTTATAATTCGCACCGGATTCAACTTGTATTTTAAACCCAGATAATAATAAAGTACTGTACAGTAAAACCTGTGTAAACTGGAATCGCATTGTATCAAACACTTTTTTCCAGTTTGGCAGGCTTCCGTTTTGAACAGAAGAAATTTTTCCGTTTAAGCAGGTTTCCGTTCTATTAAGGTTCTATTTCAGACTGGATTTACTATATTTTAAATATATGTTATAAATTTATTTTAAAACAAGTAAATTAGGTGTTTTAAATCAATTTTTAAAAAGATTAATACAGTCGAATCTCCAATAACGGCCATCTCTAAACAGTGGCTATTTTTTCAGGATCATTTCTTTTTGAAATGCATACAAAATAACCTGCAAACACGGACATTTTTCTCTAACAGTGGCCGTTGTTCACTGTATAATAAATTAAATAAAATTAAATAATAATAATAATAATAATAATAATAATAATAANATTAAATAATAAATTCGACTGTATAATAAATTTTCGAACTTATCAAGAATATTAAAGAAAATTTTAAATATGATATTAAAATTTTATCATAAATGAATTGTATATATTATAATTAATTATAAAATGTGATAATTAACCTATATTTTAATTAATATTAATTAAGAAATATATGCACATCAATAAATCTAATTTGAATATTAGGAAGTATAATTATTTAATATTTAAATATGATTTAAATAATAATTCATCTCATTTTTTATTTTATTTTATAATAAATTGAGTCTCTTTTTATGTGCTTCATAACTTTATAGAATATAAACATACAAAGGGTAGCCTTAAAGTTAGTTAACCATGCTTTTTGTTGTGTATTTGAATAAGATAACTGACTTTTGAGCAACCTCTATATACATATATTCAAGTTATGTCATAACTATGAAGCTATACAAAGGTGTCATATTGTCACTCCAAAAAGCAGTTCAAGGTTAATGAACTTAGAGCATTAAAAAACCTCCTTTCAAAGGCCACAAACCAAATTTAAATAACAAAAACCTATTCAATATTTTTCTTACATACATTTACAACATTAATTACATTTTATTGAATATTAATTTGTTGCTTTCTTATGGAAATTAATTTCAAGTTTACATTGTTGGTGTTCTTTTCTATGAAATTTATGAATAGAAAACAGAAAACATGTTTTGGGTGTGTCTTTTCATTATGTTCAATCATTTTATATAAATTTAATTAATAGAATTAAGTAAATAAGAAATTTTTAAAAGAAATTTTGTAAGTAAACTACTAAAAAAATACTTTTTCGTATACATTTTCGATATTTTTTTAATTCTATATCAACAGGAGCACATTACAGATGCTGTTTTAAGCACTTTTGAGGCCCATGGCCCAATTTCTTTACAAGAATTAATTGAATATAAAAGGAAAATATTATTAATGAGCAGTGAGATGAGGCTTGTAAGGTGAGGCATCCAGCCATTACTAGTTAAACCTCACTTCATACCAATATAAATTATCGTGCATCCTTAATTCTATATGAATAAGGAAATACTGTATTGATATGTTCCTGTTCTATATCAACAGAAACACATGATTAGGTTATTTGTAATATTAAGACAGGAATAGCTTCTATTGTATAATTAATACTACTCCAATGGAATACATTATTTCTACACTCCTGAACAAGTGCACAAGATTATTGTATTCCTGATTCTACACTGGGAGGAACACTGGCAGAGGAGTGTTCCTGTTGATATAGAAAAGGAAATGGAGCACAGATCAAAGATATCTTTGATATCTACTCCATCAAACAACTTTGACATAAAATACTATCAAAGATCTTCAACGGGATAAGAACTTAGTTGATAAATTTAACATTCAAGACTAATCAATTACATATACAAAATAAGAAGCATCTGTACTTAATCCATCAATAACCTATTTCCTAAGTATGGCATCCTAACTGAAGTGATTATTATAATTTATCAGCATCACTATACAAAATACTTTACACACAACGTACTTTAAGTTTAGTATCATCATATATAATTATTATTATAGAATGAAGCAATAATATTATTCAAATGCAGTTCTATCTTTTTTAGGTCGGCATGAATTAAATATAGCAAAGTTTACGTTACAAATGATTTTGTTACACTTTCTTACCGTAGCAAAACTGTGTAATAAAGTCATTTTAACATGAATTTTAGTATGCATTTTATACATTATTATATAAAACCGTGTAAAAGAGCCATTTACGGGGTAAACTTTCCTATTTATTTACACTTATTTATAGAAAACCGTATATAACACGCAACATAAGACACCAATTTTTGCATACAAATTTAAGCGTTACGGTCGTGTTAGTAAACTTATTACAAAATTAAACATATAATTAACTAATTTATGAGTGATAATACGTTATTTAAACTTCAATCTTGCAAAAAAAAAAGTAATTAAGGAAGACATTTTTATGTTAGAAACGAGTACTTAAAGATTTCTTCTCAAAAATTGTACGGTAATTAACCAAGTGGGACAAAGTTCTTAATCGATTCTTCCTTAACCGATAATAAAACAGGAAATAATTACAAGATAATTTAAATTATCCGTGGAACGAATTAAAGTTTATAAAAGATTTCTCAATAACGATAAATCTATGCGATCGCTGAGTAAAGGGTGAACATGTGAGCATGGAAGCCCTTTAAAAAAATTAATACAGTATGTTCATAGTTATAAACAGGATCTGTATATAGTTCTAATGCCTTAAGCTAATTATTTTTTTCTAAACTTCTTAAATATTTAATGAGAGAGTCGCCATGAAGGTCATCTTGTTCTTAGATTACAATCTTTTTTTTTCAAATGGAATTAAGAAAACAATTCTGATTCAAAATAAATAAATACAGATAAATTCAACTCGATATACAAATTAATTAATATCTTATATAATTCATTTACAACCAAAGGAAAAATATCAAAACTTGAGTATTCCAAGTAGATGTTACTTTTAGGTAAATTGTTTATATATGATATACAAAAATTACCTATAAGTAACTCCTACTGAATAATACGCTTGACTAAATCCGGATCAAAACCCGTAACCAATAGAAAAAATACATTAATTAATTTTTAAAATATATATATAATAATTCTCGTATATTTAAGATATTCAAATCACTCACCATTTAAAGTAGGTGTTACTTTTAAGCAAATTATACATTTAGTAATACTGGGATATTTACTTAAAGTTAACTCCTGCTGATATGTTTGAAGGGTTTCCATATTAAAACATGTTGTTAATTATATTAAATTAAAACACTATTCAGTTTTATAATAATGTGCATTGTTATCCGTACGAACACGAGATGATACACACGTCATTTAACATCTTTACATGGCGTGCAATCATGTCTGTCTTCCTTGTTTGACACCTGCGAAGGTCATCGACTCTAATACACTATTCAAGATGTTGTCACTACCAAGAAAATATATAAATCACAACAAGAGCACGCATTTCTCTTCAAATACTTTATACTTTCAAGTTCAAGACGAACATAAATATAACAAATTGATGTTAAAAATAAGAATAAAGTCTCCTAATGGCATCCATTTTTAGACACTTCCTATTAATTTTCTATCAAACAGTGCGTGGCAACCGTGACCTAAGGAAGATTTTCTAAAGGATTAATATTAAATTGTGCAATTACCTTAAGGGAAATAAATATAATTTCGTACTTAAATGATTTTTATAATTTTAAATTTCAGGTTAAAACAAAGGTCATAACTCGAATTCCTATCGCGCGTTATTCGTTAAGAAAATCGACGTTTGTGCTTAAATAGATTAATGAGGAAATTATTAATTAAACTTGAGTGATTAATTAATTTAACTTCTTTTTAAAAAAATAACCAATAAGATAATTTTTTTATTAATTCCAGGTTAAAACGAAAGTAATTCGTTGAACTCCTGTCGAGGTTGGTATTGAGTTATTCATTAGAAAATTCCTAATTAACTAGGAAAATTATTAATTAAGCTAAACGAATTAATTTAACAATTTTTTCTTTAAAAATAACGAATTTTTCTATCTTAAATGTGCTTGAAAGGTGAGAATTAGGCATTTTCTTAAGAGACTCGCGTACATTTTATACAGAATAATGCGATTTATGACTCTGTTTTCAAGTAACAAACGTATAAATTATGAATTAATTTTTAAAATTATTAAGGTTAAATTCTAAACCAGCTAACAATCGTAGGCTC